CCAGAAATATTTATTTCTGAGGTAAAAAGCTTTGATGTTATCAATTAACATGATATTTAACTAATACTGAATTCATTATATATAATAGCTCAGAAATTATGCCAAGTGTGCAAGGAAACTATTCCTTAAAATTTATGGATTCACACAAGACCCAGAAACAAAGACACACATGATTGTTATGCAATATGCTAACAATGGTAATCTTCTATCTTATTTGGATCAAAATATCAACAACTTGACATGGAGAATGAAACTACAGTGTCTGACAGATATTGCACGTTATTTGAATAGTATTCATGATATGAATCTAGTACATTGTGACCTTCATGGTGGAAACATAGTTATGCATGATAATACATATTATAATAGGTTGAATTCATATATATGTGATCTTGGTCTTTCTCAATCAGTGAATTTTCATCAACAACATGCAACTATCCAAAGTGTTTTACCTTTTACTGCACCAGAAGTCTTCCATACCCGCAAATTTACTCAAAAATCAGACATATATTCTTTTGGTATTATCATGTATTTAATTGCCACTGGTGAACAACCTTTCAGAGACAGACAATTAAATGCGAGTTTAGTAAGTGATATTATGGCAGGACTACGACCAACAATGCCTGATTCAGCACCAGAAGAATACAAAAAACTTGCTGAGCAGTGTTGTGGCACTGATCCTGATACACGTCCAGATGCACTGACACTTTCAGGTAATATGGACAGCCTCTATGGTGAGGTGTGCAGTGATAGTGATGAGTCTGATGATAATAATAATGCATGGAATACCATTTATCATAATAATGTTAGAGCGAGAGAGTAAAACTCTAGTGAGCTCTTACCCTACTAGTGATTTGCCTAAACTGAGAAATAGTGATGATCTGAATGTATGAAGATAATGCTGGTTATAGTTATGTATTTGTTTGAATTAAGTCAATTTATGATATTAACATAGTCAATTGTCTTATTGTTTTACTTAAAATTTTGAACCAATGGTTATTCACAGTTTATTCAAGGGTTCATACTAAAACTGACCATACTATACACTTACTATTACTATAGTAATAATGTTTTTCTGTAGTCTTGCAACTATTACTATGGTTATTCAGGTAGGATAAATAAAACTTTGATGAGTTTGGCTTGCAAAATAAAGTTGGTAATGTAATTTGTGATAGTAACAGTAACTCTGTGGCCTTTTATTGTTGATTTGAACTACAGTAAAACTTATACAGTCCCCCCGGTTGTACTGGTGTTTCTATAACAGCCAAATTTTCAGGAACGGATTTTTAGATATAAATTTTTCGTTTATATATTATGTCTACCATCTTTAATGCCTGATCTTTCTTCAATATGCTCAAAACCCTTTTGAATATTACTACTACAGAAGTAATACATTTGAATAAAAACTATTCAATAATAATAACCATTTTTTTCAGTGTTATTTTCAGTTATTCTAACATCTAACACTTCTTTACCTGAAACTTGGTTTTCATTGTTGTGACATCCTCAAACAAAGTTTGCAAAACTCAATAAATTTACTTTTTTCGTGTTCAGTAATAATAAACAGAAGTCACAAGAAAAATATGCAAGTACAAGGAAATCGGGGGCTCATCAAGACAAGAGAAATAATCTCTTTGTATCAATTCAATTTGAAATCTTTTTTTTTCCTATTTGCATTGCATCTTTTTATAATAATAAATACGTTCTATTTTATTAATTCCGAATATAAACTGATAATGAAATTTATGACTTAGCAAAAACTTTCAAATTTTGCCAAATTATCTTGTCCAACTTATATACTGTAAATCCGCTCGAGTATTAGTATTTAAAATATTAATTAAAAAAATATTAACCTGGAATTAATTGCTTGATAGATTTATCAGATAAACAACATAACCCATTGGTCAAACAAGACTAATAACATCGAATACTTTGAACATATTCTCGTGAATAATCAAGACTCATACGAAGTAATCTCGCCACGGAAACTTTAGGTGGGGTTAGTTTACAGTGTTTACAGTAATCACAGAATAAGAATTGTCTATGATCATGTTATGCCGCTAATAGTAGTAATCATCGGCGCTCATTTCACTGAGAATATCTTTGTGTTGACAATGACCCATAATGATATTAATAAATGCTTTATCGCTTAATAGATATGTAACAATTTGATACATATGAAACAAAAGGACTGGTGAAAAATATGGATATTAATATGTCTGCATGCGGGCTATCGTAACAACTAACGATTCGTGATATTACCATCCAAACTTACATTCAAAAGCACGCCGTTTAATTGGTACATTCTGTTCTCATGCCCACAGAATGGATTCTCTCCCAATGTTTGTTTACATATTCTCGTCACAGGAGAAGTTACACAGCAAAATATGACAGCTGCTAGCCAATTCTCAATAACAATGACATGCTATCACGAAAGGGTCTCAGGAGAATTCCTTGTTCAGACATACATACACCAATAACATAACAGTTTCTGGCCACTCAATCAAAAGATATCCTCTAATGACTTGCGAAAATCGAAAGGCAAGATTTAGGAAAGAAACATGTAAGCCGGTTGATATCAACTGTTGTGAAGTTGACAAACGATTGATTAACTATTCTTTCTGTAACGGTTGATCTCTTAAGAATTCTCGCTTCACCTATTTTGATCTCCCTCCGCTTGAATCAAGCTGTTTCACCAACATCTCTAGCAGACGGTCATTACCCTTTCTAGCTGGGATTTGTCGAGCAAGCTGCTTGAAACTATGGGATGTTCGATCAGATATGTTCTTTTATAGGGTCACGGATAGGCTGTTAGGATTATGGAAGGCTGTACGAATTAAAACACATGTTTCAACGCTGGTATGTGCTCCAAGTTCAATCCATTACGACAGATAAAATTGTCTGTTACTGCGACGAGCGGTCAATGCTTAATATTATGCGTTTTGACGATAGTCAGCAATATAAAACATAAATAAACCATGAGATCATTAATACTCATTGAATGTCCAAATGTGACGTTGTCGGTACATCTGTCAAAGTCAAATAAGGGCCGGTCCACGCAAGGAAAAGACATCAGAATCAGGAACGAGAGTGTATTCCGGTAAGGTTTGCAAGTCCTTTGTGTTAGAAGTTCCGATATCACTGCTAGAGTACATAACTTGGTTATTTCTTTTTGAAGACAAGAGAGGCTGGTGGAAGTATCATTGCCCGTTCTTCAGGAAAAGTATTATTGTGATCGCGTAAAGTGTCTTGTCAGAAAGATTGTGGAGGTTACCCACGACCCACCTACCGGCACGGTCTATTATGTGACTAGTTTTCGAGTACGGTTCCCGCTCAACTGACTTTACAAACTCGTGATAAACATGAGCTGTCCAAAGATCTCCTTGTCATCAATACGGTAAGAGGACGAGCACAGCGTGGATAAGAAAGAAAAGAAAAGAAATAAGGTAATAACAGTGAAAAACGAAAAGGCTTGAACAGAACGTTGAATGTGAATTGTATCCTCATCTTGCTTATTGATGCGATTATCCATGGTTTCGTCGATTATGTTATTTTTGACGTATCGTAGTAAGTACGTGATCGTTTCTCGGGACGGAAAGCTTATCATTTCCGCCGTCTCTGCAGTTGTCAATAGTTGATCATCAAGGGATATGAGAGTTTGCATTTCGAGACCGTAGAAAACAAAGACAATAGTTGACCGTCAGTAAAAGAATCGATAACTTGAACTAAATTGGAAATCTTCCGAAAGAAAATTATCTTTTTTTTTTCTTGCGATTGGTAAAACTCGAAAAGAATGTACTTGATCTTTTCATGAACAGCGAAGTGAGGATATCGATCCAAGAGCTCGTTGCAATGTATTCAAAGGTTTGATAAGAACAGATCATGCAGACCGAGTTTGACGAGGGAACAGAAGGAAGGTGAGGAAGGCAGGAAGGATAATATCGTTTTCCAAACGTCCCGTTTTAGATAAAGCGCGGGTAGGGATATGCTTTTGCTTGATGAAAGCCGTATTGCATATACGTGCATATGTAGCGAATAGACTATTGTATATATTCCATACAAATTACAATCGATTTATTTGCACTCTGATTTGTCCCCCGTTTTCCCTCCACCAAAATATGCAACACATTTTCAACTGACCATATATATAATAATCCCATTCTATTAAATTAGAACAAGTTTTTAAAATAAGTTTTACAAATGTCAAGTTTTTTTTTTTTTCACATTAGAACCATAATTACACAGTATAGTAATTTAATGACAGCTCATCTATTCATTAAATAAAAATAAAAATAGCGGAATTCATGATGGTGTGGGAGTAAAAGTATTTCGTTTCCAAACCGAAAATCTACCAGCCAGTCTAGGAGCCGCTTTTGTTTGCACCGCAGCAATTCCCGTGGTCGGCATGTTCGACATTGCACCCTTCATTTTTCGTAGCAGCACGGATGCCTTGCTTCTAGTTTCACCGGCAACAGTGTGCATACGCTGCTGTACTGTAGCGGAACTATTATTACCAATGCTGAATGGAAACACACTTTTCTGAGGCTCGTTGGAATTGTTGTTTGTGCGTTTAAAAATGTTGGCATTGGCGAACGTGTTGCGTGGTGCGAATGACAGCCAATCGTTGTGATTGTTGGATCGTCCTTTTTGTCCTATTGGAATGTAATCTTCTTCGTCGCTTGATGCGTCAGAGTCTCCGTTAAGTTGAGCTAGCAGTCGTGCTTCACGAAGTCCGTACGCTTTTTGGAGTACTATTGTAGGATCTTGAATCGGATAGTTCTTTGATGGGGATATATAGCACAAGTGAGTTACAAAAGAGCACGTAATTGTGAAAAAGCAAATGTCAAGCCAATTACCTGAAGCAGTTTGATATTATCCGCAAACGATCCATCCAATAATTCGTCTTTAACACATCTGTACGAATAGATGCAAGTTAGCCGGTTGTCCAAGTTACAAGTTTCCGCAAAACCTTTGCCGACTTACATGATCATTGCACAGCAAAAATCAAGGAGAAACTCGAATCCGCCTTCTCCGACACTGCGATCGGCAAATACAGAATCCCACAAACGAATAACTTCGGGAAGAGCAAATTCCTGGGCACATAGTACAGTGAGCCATCTAAACGCATAGTAAGTAGGGAGAAGGGATTTCTGTTCCTATTTGTTTTAAGAGTAGCGCATAGTAGGATTGACATGAAATTAGTTAACGATGTGGATTCACTCGTAGGGGGGGGGGGGGGGGGGTGTTTTTCCCTACCCCAATTTTCTTTTGTTTCTTTTCTTTCGCATCCCAATTTTTCCC